TAAAGTGGTAAAGACACAAGTATCTGTCAATGTGACAGAAGATGGGACTACAAAGGAGAAAATAAAAAGCCAGGAACACACTCACCTGAGAAGAGTCTCAATTAGGAATTGTTTAGATCAAGTTGGCCTGTGGTCACGTCTGTAGAGGATTTTCTTTATTGACATAATTGATGTGTGAAAAGCCTGCCTGGAATTGGATGGCAACAATCCTTCCTCTGGGACCTTCAACTCTAGGCAAAGGTAGCTGAGTAATAAGCAACCTCACATTTAATTCTCCACATCTCAATATCCCTAGTGATGAGACCAACTGTTTCAGTGCTGGCTGCCTTGACTTCCCAGCTGTGATGATCAATAACCTGGAACTGTGAGTTATCAGCAATCCTTTCTGCCCATATTGCTGCTTGTCAGGATATTTTGTCTCAGCAACAGAAAAGACAGACACTGGTGCCATGGAAGTGGGGTCATTACAGTCACAGATCTGACCAAGTGGCTTTTACATCTTTTGACTATTTTGTGAAAGCATTTGGTACACTGGACTAGAAAGGTTATTAAATGCTGGAAGCAAAATGTATGGCCATTCTAGTGGGATCATATATATAAGTATACTGAGAAGAATGCAGAAGTGGAGGCCTAGATCATGTAGTTTTAGAGAAGAACAAGAACTTCATTGGGATCCATTTAAACTGACATTGGAATCGGGGAAGGAGAGAAAAAAATGAATTGTAAGTTTCTGCTCTTTCAGTCTAGTACAAAGCCTGCTCATTCATGTGCATGTCCAAATGCCCACAGTTCTAGACAGCCTTATTCATAAAGAAACTGGTGGGAAACATAGAGACAACAATGACGTAAGAGGGACACCCTGTCATCTCCTCCTACATTCTTAAATTTAAACCAAGACTGACATAATGTCACCAATTTGTAAGTGTAGATAATAGTTTTTCTTTCTATCTTTTCACAGATGGAAGGCATGTCAGCAAGCAGTAGCTGGAGCAGGAAGCTGAGTGATCACATCTTTCCCCACAGCATGAGGCAAAAAGAGGGAACTGGAAGTGGGTGAGGCTACAACTCTCAAAGCCCAGGCCAGGGACTAACTTCCTCAACAATGATACACCTCCTGAATGTTCCCTCAATCAATGCTACCAACTGTGTTCAATAATGAGAACATGAGGAACATTCTCATTCAAACTACTACAGACCTATAATAACAAAACTAATATTCAAATTGGAACCTTATTCTGTATTCTTGCCAAAAATGTCATAATGCCAGGAATTACACAATAAAAAACTGAGCAAATGTTTTAATTTTTTTATTCTAAAACATGGTTTTATTCTTCCTCAATGTCTTTTTTATTTTTCTTTATTATTGAAAATGCCATACATATATACAATGAAATATATTTACCCCCAGTATCCCACATCCAATATATAATAACACACACATACACACACACAGACACACACAGACACACACACACACACACACACACACACACACACACACACACACACACACTCCCCAACAAGCTCCTCTCCAAACTTCATGACTTTTTTATAACCTACTAAGTCCAGTTAGTGCTACCCACATGT